GAGGCTGTCTCTCTCTCTCTCTCTCTCTCTCTCTCTCTCTCTCTCTCTCTCTCTCTCTCTCTCTCTCGTGCAATTAATTGATTTATTGACTATCGCGACAGGCCTATGTGTGCCCATTCGTGGACACACCTGAAGTTAATTTGTTTTAATATTGGAGTCGCGTTCATCACACGAAGTTACTCATTCATTGACCAGATCACCCAGAGGTGTCAAGTAAACTGTACTTCAGCGCCTTTCTATCCAACCAGAATACTCAAAGCGCCTTACAACACAACTTGTACTCATTCACATTCATTCAGCACTGTACAGTAGAGGAACTAGGTCTCTCTACAAAGCTCATACAAGTAAATCAGTCTGTACAGACTAATCAGTGCTTTAAATCACACCCAAACACTGATGGGACACATAGAGGTTAGTGAGGGTTCAGTGTCTTGCCCAAGGACACTCCGATGTGACTGAATAGCAGGGAATCAAACTGCCAACTCCTGCATTAGAAGAGCGACTACACCACTCAGCCCCTAACAAAACACATAAGTAGAAATTTTGGTGTTACTGAAGCAATTATTTTTCATCTTTTTACTTCTTACATTTTTGTGCAATTCTCAGAACTTTCTACTACTTACATTTATAAAATGTTAGTATTTCATTTCAGTGATTTCAGCTATAAAAAAGTGATTGTTTTTGTGGTTATTGTTCATGTGTTTCAGTGTTTCCTGCAGATCTTCAGCAGACAGTGCTGATTAAAGAAGAAGCTCCTGAAATACGGAGGCCTGGTGTGGACCAGCAGTACCCAGATACCCTCAACATAAAGGAGGAYGAAAATGCTTGGGTCWGTCTAGAGACAAGAACAGCTTTATGTGAAAAAGGAAACTGGTGACACCAGGTTGGCTTTGACTTTGGTTCATTTGAAGAGTGAGGATGATGAAGAGAAACCTCTGTTCTTACACCTTCATCAGCTTCAAGRGGGAGATGGAGCCTCTCCAACAAGCAGCTCAGCTGAGCGGATTAAAGCAGCAACAAGTGGAGAGGACTGTCGAGGAGCAGAAACTACCAGAAACCCKGATCTAAATACTGATGAGCATTATTTCAGCTCTMCAGAGACTGAAGTCGYTGAAGATGAGGACATGGTGGATTCTGACTCTCAGCTGAAAGACTCATTAGACTCTGGGTCAGAACCTGAAGACYATGACAAACACTGGAAAGACAGCCGGGCTCCTGAGTCAGGWGTAAACACTGTCAGCAAAACTTGCAGCTTCTCAAAGATGTCTTCAAGTTGTTTGGATACACAGAAATGTTTTAGAGTGAATAAAACTGCAGGTTCAAGGAAGARGTTCCAGTCAAAACAGAAAACATTTAGTTGTGATGATTGTGGAAAAACATTTCCCCAAAAGTATCTTTTAAACAAACATATGAGAACTCACACAGGAGAGAAACCATTTGTTTGTGAAATTTGTGGACAAAGGTTTGGATTTAAGGCATATTTAAAATACCATTTGATAACCCACACAGGACAGAAACCATTTGCTTGTGATCGTTGTGAACAAAGGTTTGGACAAAAGTCCTCTTTAAAACAACACACGTTGATCCACACAGGACAGAAACGGTTTGCTTGTGATCGTTGCACTATAGGAGAAAAATTATTTTATTTATTTATTTTAAAAAAAATTAAGGTTGTCTCAGTGAGATCCAAGATCTTATTTGCAAGAGAGACCTGTTTTGATAGGACAAAAATAAAATAATCATAATAAAAATTGTAAGTATTTAGTTGCTGATGTTTGCAGATGGCATGCTTTCAAAGTGCGCTCAATGTAACGCAGTCTTTGTGGTTTGTGATAATCGGGGTGGTGACCTGGAATGGTATCAAATCCCCGGCCTGGYTTATTGTCCCAGTTCAGCCCTGCAACTCTAGAGTTTGTTGCTAAAAATTGCTTCTTTAGAAAATAGTTTTCTATATTAGAAGTATTTTTTACTTGCTGTAATGTAAATTACTTGTATTAACTGTTTGCATGGTCTACCTGTGTTTGTGTGCGATATCTCCGGATCATGGGACAATGTCCCCGTTGTTACTGTATGTCCAAATGTGTTTAATCCAGGTGTGGAGCTACGGTTCTGTTCTGCAGTATCTGGAGCTTGGCTTTTGAGTTTATTTTTTTATKTTAATAAACGAGTTTGGTTTATGTTGTTTGCAAATTTGTGCTTTAAAACTGTATCTAAAAACAGCAGAAAACAGAGCTGTACACATAGTGAGAAAATGTTCTGGACTTTCTGACCTCTTGTGGTCATAATTAGATACTGCAGTGCAGTCCTTCGTCTGGCCTAATTTCCAGACCAAAGATTTGTTTTTAGAAATTAAAACGGCTTGTTTTAAAGAACAATGACTAGTGATTGTGTTTATGTTTATATCAGATTATGTTTAGATCAGTACAGCTTCAGTTTATGAGCAAAACTGATCACAAAATTTCACAAATTTTAAAGTCTGTTAGCAAAAATGTCCCAATAACAAGTAAATTCTTTTTAATTAAACTCTCAGCATTTGTTCATTGTGTTTACATCTACAGTTGATTAACAACTGGAGTCAATCCAGTTTAAGATGGTATGTCCACAGCCAACTGACCAGTGGCAGAACAAAAATATCTGTAACTCAGGCGTTTTTATACATATCCAGCTAAGATTTGGTGAGGTGGTAGCTGAGAGTCATCCTCAGTTTAAATACTAGAGTTAAATCTCACATCATCATTCCTGTCAGGAGCTGAGTCAGAACAGAGTTGTGTTTTTGGGAATAGACACAAGTCAGTGTGAGTTTGTGTCGCCGGCCAAAAGACTTCAGCTGCTTGTAGTTTTGCATCATCAGGCCATAAAGATGTTTATTTCAGAATTTGTTGTAAAATAAACTAAATCAGTTTATATATACACAAAGAATCTGCAAAATTAATGTTTGTTTTTATATGTACAAGTATATTTAGTGTGTTTTAGTGAATCCTGAGGGCTTCTTTTTTAAATGTTGATCATGATGTTAATTCTTCAGCACACAGAGTGTTTGATAAACTAATGATTCACCTGTAAAATAAACTGTTACTGTCCAGCTGCACGTATTTGAAGAACTTTTTTTTACTTAAACTCTAAATTGATCAAACTGAATTTTATGCCCCCCCCCCCCCCCCKCCGTTTTCCTGTGATAGCCATTGAAGAAATATTTAAAATCTGACATTAGTTTTATTTTCATTCATCGTGTCTTCATTAGTACTTTAAATGATAATGTAAATGTGTTGTTATACATTGTGGATTTTTCTGGGGTATATTAAATTTTCAAATGAATGTTCATAATTGAAGTTGTTTCCTTTAAGCCCAACATTGAAAGTCGTCTTCTCTCAGTTTTGTGATTTTATCTTTCCAAGCAAAGAAACAAAGACTTTTACCTTATTGTTTTGGTTTATGAATCGTAAATCTTTAACACCTGTTAAATATCCTCTTGAAACCACAGCTCCTTCCTTCCCCAGTGGTTTTACTGGCCGATGTTTACCCTCCCAATATGGCGGACCTGCTGACCAGTAGACTCAGACATTTAAGAGGCATCTTCTTTATGTTTAGCACCAAAAATAACTATTATAAAACTGTTCTACAGTTTATGATGTCTGCACACATGACAGTCCACACAGGTCAGAAACCATTTGTGTTTGATCTTTGTGGAAAAAAGATTTGCACAACAGTCGACTTTAAATTGACACGCGAAAGTCCAAACATGATAAAAATAATTTGTTTGTCATGTTTGGAGACAAGTCAACTTTAAACCCAGACATGAGAGACCACACAGGACAGAAACAGTTTATTTGTGATCATTTTGGATGAAGGTTTAGAGACCGGTCAGCTTTAAACAGACACAGGAAATCAGTTCAGCTCTAAACAATAAATGAGCTCTTAAATATAGATGTGATTTGGAAATTGTTTTATATTACTGAAGTTGTTTTTTCTTCAAGAAACATGCATGTTAAGGCCCTGTCACACTATAATGTTTTAGACAACTTGTGCCAACTTATGAAAAGTTTCTCCAACACAAAATTACATCAAAGCTGAACGTAAGCCGCTTTTGGACCRATACATACTYTAATGTTAACAATTAGATCAAATATACAGCCAATAAATGTAAAATAGTCATAAAATTTTCACATGTCTGTAAAAGCTGGCTAAATTGTTATAGTATGACAAGGCCTTTAGGTAGTGAGCAGACTTTTGAAACTTTATGTGTTTAGTTTACCAGCTCATAAGCAAAGACATTTTTAAACTACTTTTTCTAAATAGATGTTTGTTTGCCACCGACTGGTATGGAGTGTCGTTAACACACCCTGTTTGGGGTGATGCTCACCTGTGGGAAACAATTGACCTGCCTGAACACCACAGTTCCATCAGAACATCCACGACAGACATGGAAGTCCTGCTGGACCTGACTCCACTAGATTTACATATCTTAGGAGAAGCTGCATCCAGTGCGGTGAGGTTACACCATTCTAGGTGGAAAAGCCTATCTGACTRACAGCACGCTAGAATCTGGGACAGGMCTGCTGTTCCAGTAACTGCAGGACCTGGAGACAGAATGGTCATAAAATATAAACTTGAGCTAAGTTTTAGGACAGAGACTGAAGACAGGTCTGCCTGGAGTGACCTCTCTGGACATGTTTCCCAATCACATGTATTTTCACTATTGTACAGATGGATCCCTTCTGAATGAGGTCGGTAGGTGCAGGGGTGCTGATTTTACACAACCATAGTGAGAGAGAGAGCATAAATACCCACTAGATTATACAGTATTTTTATTCATTTAATTAAAAAAACAATACATACAACAACACAATACAAATAAAATAAAATGAAAGGCAGCAGAAGAAAAAGGTCTTGTATCTGCGCCTATAGCTCCTATATATAGGTTGTTTTGCAACTGTATTTCAAGCTGAGATGTACGCAATCCACCAGTGTGTGGCATCTCTCAAAGACCTTCAGTGTACACAGAAGGAAATATTCATCCTAACAGGTAGCCAAGCTGCTATTAGAGCTCTTCAAGGGCCACACTTTATACTGGCTTGGATGTATGCATGAGATAACAGTGTTACTGTTAAATGGGTACCAGGACATACTGGCGTTAATGGTAATGAGAGAGCTGACTATCTTGAGGAAGATGGCAGTCAGGCTCACTCAGTGGCGGATCTAGGATTTTTCTGAGTAAGGGGCCATCAAGGGGCCACAATATTCACAGAGGAGCCATGTATTTGTTCAACACCCTTGCACATAAATCCTTGGTTTTGGTAAGGTGTATAAATTTAACCAGTCACATACGTTGCAACAATTGTAAAATTTATTTATTTTTGCCAAAAACTATTGTAACGTATTGTAATGTTATTAAAAAAGCTTAAATTCTCCTTATTGATGTTACATGTATTTTTACACATGGATAAAATATTCTCAAAGCACGTGAGAAAATGAAGCCATTGTTTGCCAGTTGAAATATCTTTTGCAAAATTGTTCGTCTTTTTAAAGAAGAGAGAAGACTTCTGTAAGATTGATCCATGCATGACTTTACTGTTTGACTCATTAGCGCCTCTAGTGTTTGGTCATGGAACTGTACCATCATTGCTCTCAGGCAAAGGACAGATGAGTGACAGGACAGGGGCACTTCAGGGGGCCAATGAGATTTCAGTAGGGGCCAATGCCCCTGTGGCCCCATCCCTAGAACCGCCCTTGGGCCCATTTCACAGTACCAGAGCCTGTTGTAGGTATTTCAACAACAGTCTGTAGGACTGCCCTACAGGCCTGGATTAGACATCAATGCTCAGTCCACTGGAGGGAGCTGACAGACTGTAGACAGGCACAGGGACTGATAAACGGCCCAAATCTTAGGTCTGGGAAAGCTCTGCTTGCCCTGACGAGGAAAAGTACACTGGTTGAAGTCGTAACTGTGCAAAAGCTGCTCAGCCGCCACAAAATGGTGATTGGACTCCAAGACAATGGTCTGTGTGATGCCTCTTTGCACTACRTAGGCCACTGCCTGGCTCAGAGTAATCAAAGGAAGATAATTCTTGYGGACCCKTTTATGGACCCTGAGAAGCTCAGAACGCAGTGTTTCTAACCCTGTGTCCATCTGAGGGATGCAAAGGTTTGATTAAAGCTCACTGTCTGGTTGGAGACCAATGTGAGCACCCCACTTATATGTGTTCTTCACACATCCTCACTCRAACTCTAACACACTCTGTTGTACTTCCTGTTTACTCACCTGCTTGGGTTCAGCTGTGTAGGACTAAACAGCACATCTCTGCACAAAGATAAGAATATGAGCTACGTGAATTTGAAGATTATTGTATGACTTACAGCTTAATTACACAAAGAAGTAGGACGTGAATACATCAGTAATAAATACTCCATGAAAAAGCTTTAGGCTTCACATATACTTTATGTAGGTATACATAATGTGACCAACAGTTTTTACAGAGAATATAAAAGTTAATACATCTACCCCTACACATACACAGCGCTTTAGAAAATAAAAAATGTGCCCTGACCAACAAGGCTTATTTTACAATCACTTAGAAAACTATTGGTGATTTTGACATCAATTATATTATCATTTTATTATAGTAATCATAATTAACATATTTATTATAATCTTTATCATTATCATAAATAGAACCATCTCTTTTTTTTATCAGTCATGGCTTTTGAACACTTTAGTCACAGTTATTGATTTTTATTCTTTTCCTCATCTTAGCTCTTCAGTCGATTGTGTTTAAGGCTTTTTGCAATGAAGATCCCAAACTTTATCGGATGCAAACTCGTTACACAAAGTGTGCATACTGCAAAAGAGAGAGATACCAAAACTTATYTAGGATATATACAAACGTAACTTATTATGCTTTTAAATGAAAAATAAATACAAAATTATACTTGAATATTAGGTTGTAAAGAGGGAACACGAAAGCAAGCAGGGATTTTTAAGAGTACAAATCGAATGGAAATGGGATCACAACACATCAATCTTCACTATAGAGAAATAAAAAACTGAAAACAAAGCTTAATCAGACTGGTACCTATTGGGCTGCTGCAGAGCGATATCAAACCCAGCTTTAGGACTAAAAACAATTCATGAAATTAAAGAAAGTGCTTTTAAAGTTATAACCCTTWAGATCTTCAAGAAATCAGTTTCTATTTTGGGACCCTTTTTTTTATTGTGCCGAGCTTTATAAGCTCATTAATATTTTTATTACATCTGAAACCACAGTAAAAAACAAACAAACTGGGTATCATACAGCTGTACAAAAAAATTAAAGAATAGCCACCAACTTCTACAATTTATTTTTAAAGATTAAAAAATATCTGAAAATTAATAATCCTAAATTTTGCAATAGTTTCTTCTAAATATACTGAACATCAATAAAGCCAGATCTGGACATGTTTGACCTTCTTTTTTTTTTAACTTTGATTATTATTACTAAAAACAGTTTGGTTCATTTATTCCTCATTAGCTTCACAAAAACTGGTAGTTTGTGGAAGGATGTCTCACTGCTGGAGCTACTGAAAATTAAAAGCCCTTCAAGCTTTTATTGTAAAGCCATAAAAAATGAAGGCTGACAGCAACTGGTTACCAAATATGTCCAAAATATTCCACTTTCCAAGTCTCCATCAGCTCATTGTTTGTGTGTCTTGCACAGTGGTGGAAAAGGGACGCATCACAGTGAAATGAAAACTTGCACAAAACCTTAAAACAAGACAAACAACTGAAACGTGAGTTGGTCTGATTATTTTGCCCAACATTTAACGAGCTCTGAAATCTAAGGGTTAAAACGTCCAGAAGAAAAGCGGGCTAAATCTGAAGCCTCGATAAAAGCACCATTTCCCTTCAACTAAAAACAAAACAAAACAAAAAAAAAAAAAACAAGTCTGCACATCTTTAAAGTCTCTGCTTCATACAAACAAATAAATGAAATCAGCCCAGCTGACTCAAGATTGTAATCCTCTGTTTTGAACCTAAAAAGTTTATTTTTTTCTGAGGTTACTCTGAGCAGGGCACCTGGAGAGGAAATATTCAGCACCAGAATGAGATGAAGAGACAGTCCAGCTGAGGTTTTACTGCACTGACTGAACCACCGTCCCTCAGATGGCTCCATCTTTCTCCTCTTTCCAGCCCCATGCTGACAGCCAGCAATCTGAACTTTGACCGTTATTATTATTATTTTTTTACTTTCATATAAAAGAACAAGCAAGAGAACACTTGCACCTCTCATGCACACATATTCTAGATGCTGCACACAGACGCACACAAACACAAACACATTGGCCATTAATAACTCACATGCATGCATGTGCACCTGAAACACGGCAGATGTGCTTTAAGGAGACACAGAAACATGTTATGATCGCGAGTGAGGCGGTGTAGGAATCGAGGGGGCGATGAGATGAAGACAAACAGGCTGGTTTTTGCAGCTCCTTTTYAGAACCGAGTCCATGTCTTTTGGATTTCCTGAAGCTCTGCTGTCCCCTCTGTGACYTGTCTCCCACGGCTGCTTGTTCAGGAGACGAACCGAGGTCAGGGTGGTCGTTTCTTCCCAGCGCGCTGCGTTGTACGTAAACTGGAGGAGATCAAAGATGGAGGCGTTTRGGAGCTTCGGACGTGATTGTCCCTCTTCACTTCTTGTTGGCGATGCGCCTCTTCCTGGTGGCCAGCATGTCGTAGAAAGGGTCTCTGCTGATGCTGGCCCTGGAGAAACCAATCAAAAAGGACAACCGCGTGAAACAAAAACACATGACAGGAGAGACAAGCAGCTTTGATGTGAAAACGGAGGCACATTTATGCAGACCCCCGCCTTAACTAGATCAAAAAGAAAAGAAAAAAAGTTTGTGTAGTGACCCAGTTTGGTTTCCATGGTTTCTGAAGACAACCCCCCAGCCTCAATCCCAAGTTTTTCCTCAGATTTGCTGGAACCACTTATGAGTTCCATCTTCCAGAACTCTGCCAAGAACGCAGTAAAAGATACAGTCCCACACTTGGCCTCTCACTCCCCTGCAGATCCACTCGCCTGAACGAGGGCAAACAATGGAGATCCAGATTACTGGATTCTAATCGTCCCTCTGCTCCCCCCTTTTTTCTTTTCTTTCAGAGCGATGAAGAGGCAGCATGAAACAAGAGCCAGTGAGTCAGAAAGCCAGCTGGGCTCCACTGAGAAGCCCAGTTTCATGGCTGCTAAATCACATTAACACCAGCACAAAGCAAGAACGGGCTAACCCCCCCTCCTGCTGCTGATTTCTCCTATTCCCTTTGTAGCGCCACACGCTCAGGGTGGAATCTGCATACGTCGACTGTACCGCGCTTTCTGTGTCATCCCAACAACCCAGTTTCATGAAACAATAACACTACAGTAGAGTGATCAGAACACAAGCAAGACTGCCATGACGATCCTTTCGAGCCTTTTTCAGTCTTTGAGCACATAAAGACCTGACGTAATGAGAAATGAGAAACACGGAACAAACCAACTAATTGTTCAGCATCATGTTGAAACGACGCAACTCAAGAAGCAGATGGAGTGTGARGGCTCTGCCATCATCTCCGCTTAGCTTGACGTAAGTTTAAAAAAATTAATCTTAATTTCCACGAGAAAGCTTTTTATCTCCCCTCAACCAGAGTTCTCTGACCCCCCCTCTGGTGAAACTCACGCTGAGGTTCGTTTCCCCGCATCGCCGCCAATGAATCGACCCAGTTTGGATCTTCTGGACAAGTTTGCAGCTTTACAAGAACTGTCCACTGGTTTCACACTGTACGTTTTGTTGTGGTGGTAGGGAGTGAGGATGATGAGAGTTTGCACCACATTATTGTTCTGCTGAGCCAAGTGTCTTTGATGTTGCACCATTTTCAGTGCAGGCAGCCAATAATACAGCACAGAGTATTTAGGTCACAAACATCAGGGCTGTGAGAGAAATGGAGCTTTAATAAAACACTTTCAACGACGGTTTCACACTTAAATGAGAAATAAACTAAAATAATCTGTCAAACATAATTTTGTAAAATGAGATCTTTTGCAGCACTCTCCACTGCAATCTAGCTTCTTTATACACTGTGTGTGTTTAAAGTACTCCACTGGTTGTACGTTGACAACTGATTTCCTTTTGGAGTCTACTTGATTCAAGATGGCCGCCACAGGAAACTGACCCTTGTTTTTGCAAAAGCAGCTGTAGCTGAGTCACTTTTGCTGTAACTGAGCTCAGATTTGGTGTGGTAGTAGCTGTGAGTCATCCGTGCCACAAGCTGAGCAGATTGTGCCACATCTTTGTTTAAAACAAGCACGGCAGCAGGTGATCTACTTTTTATTTATAACGGTGATTCTTGCAAAACTTTTCATCAGTTATTATGCAAAATCCAACCAGTTGCCTTGCAGTTCACATTGAAGGTTCTGAGGGGTTCATATTTTAGCTTCATAACTGATAACAGACACACAGAGACATGAGCGATTACATTTGGCGATAGGCGATAAGTCTGATTTGCTTACAGCCTGAGTGACAATGAATCAGCTGATATTAGGTTTAAGGAGTTAAGTTTGTTTGCTTATATACAGCAGGTAAAATAAGTATTGAACACATCACCATTTTTCTCAGTAAATATATTACTAGAGGTGCTAATGACATGAAATTTTCACCAGATGTCGGTAACAACCCAAGTGATCCATACATACAAAGAAATCAAACCATAAATGTCCAGAAATTAAGTTATTTGTAATAACGTGGAATGGCACCGGGAAAAAGTATTGAACACATGAAGAAAGGGAGGTGTAAAAAGGCATGGAAAGCCAAGACACCAGCTGAACTCTCTCAGTAATTAGAAAGCAAGCCTGCCCCTTGTCAGTGCAAATTAATATCAGCTGGTTCAGTCCCAAATGATGGCCAGGTATCAAGTTTGCTGCATAACATTTAAAGCCTGTGTAATACTGGGAGAATATAGTCTGGTCAGATGAAATCAACATTGAACTGTTTGGATGCCAGAATACACATCATGTTTGGAGGTCAAATGGCACTGCACATCAGCCCAAAAACACCATACCAACAGTGAAGTTTGGAGGTGGGAACATCATGGTGTGGGGCTGTTTTTCAGCATATGGTACTGGCAAATTTCAAATAATTGAAGGAAGGATGAATGGAAAAATGTACAGAGACATTCTTGATAAAAATCTGCTTCCATCTACCAGGATGATGAAGATGAAACGTGGCTGGACATTTCAGCAAGACAATGAGCCCAAACACAAAGCCAAGGAAACTCTCAGTTGGTTTCAGAGAAAGAAACTAAAGCTGCTGGAATGGCCCAGCCAATCACCTGACCTGAATCCAACAGAAAATCTATGGAAAGAACTAAAGATCAGAGTTCATAGAAGAGGTCCACGAAACCTTCAAGATTTGAAGACTGTTTGTGTGYAAGAATGGGCCAAAATCACACCTGAGCAATGCATGCCACTAGTTTCTCCATACAGGAGGTGTCTTGAAGCTGTCATTGACAACAAAGGCTTTTGTACAAAGTATTAGATAAATTTCAGTAAGTGTGTTCAATACTTTTTCCCTGTGCCATTCCACATTATTACAAATAACTTCATTTCTGGACATTTATGGTTTGATTTCTTTGTATGTATGGATCACTTGGGTTGTTACCAACATCTGGTGAAAATTTCATGTCATTAGCACCTCTAGTAATATATTTACTGAGAAAAACGGTGACATGCTCAATACTTATTTTACCTGCTGTATCAATCAAAACCAGACAGAAAATCTTTTCCTCTGTTTTTYCTTGTCCAAGTCAGGATTATCCATGTGATTCAAGACTTAGCATTCTTTTCTTTTTTGACCCCATGAAGACGAAATTGGATAAGTTTCGAAGTGTTGCAACACAGCTGTAAAAATGTCACAAACTGAGCCAAATCTGAAACTCAGAGCAAATTTTGGACTTTTAACATGAGAGTAATGTTGACTCTAGCTTTTTCACCCTTTTAAAACTAAATAATACTAACATTGGTTATTCACCGCTGGTGTTAATGCGACTCTTACTTGATAGATTTAATCCACTCCTCCTTCTCCTCAGGCGTGGGCGCTGATATCCTGTAAACAACATGGTTGCCCTCAACAACACGTCCATCCGCCTCTGTCTTGCAAGCTTTGATCACCTGGCCTTTGTGATTGGGATTGTACAACTCGAAGCAGTTCTGGAGGCAGACAGCAGATAATCAGCTTTGGCRGAGATAACTAATGAAGCTAAAGATTTGGTCTCTGATGAGGCAACACTCACAGGCTTCCTGGGCTCCTCTACCTCCCTGATGCTAAGATTCTCCAGAGGGATGATCCCACGAGGCTCCTTGTCCTGCAGGAAGGAAGGAAAAGAGGCAAAAAACAAGGAGGGAGGAAGGAACACAAGTTAATAATGAGGACTTATTAAAACATCAAATAGCAAGGCAGGAAAAMAATATAAAATGTCTCAAAAAATAAAAAGAAACTATCAAAGTGAACTGTGAGGAATGAAAAACAATCCACTTTGACATGGTCTGCAGGCTTTGAAATCAACCCTGTGTTCTCCCCTCCACTTGTCCTCATGCTCCAGATAAAGGATCAGATAATGTGAGCATGCAGCAGTCAGACTGGAGGACGGGACATAATGATAGTGTCCTGAAGGATAATACCAGGTTAAAGAGAGGACGCTGCTGATGCTGCAGGGAGGGCGCGCAGGCGCTTTGAAAAACAAAACAAAACAAAACAAAACTGTAAGAACTGCTAACAGATTTGGCATGGAATGACGGAGTAAAGAAAGTGTGAATTCAATCAGCAAAAAACGTATTTATTAAATACTAATTAGGACTGTAACTRTTTTGGAATCAAGCAGAAATGACAGGAGAGTGAGGAAGTCTCAACAAATTAATGCCTTTACGTGTTTATATCTTTGACAACATTAAGTGTTTTTATCAGGTGACAGGCTTCAGATTATTGTGGGAATGCTATATTAACACTATTGATCAGTTTTTCTTTTGTACGTTTTTTTGTTGTCACGTATCTCATTCTGCAATTTTTGAGATATTTCAATAATTAATACATGAAAACATTCAGTTCCTTCAGGACATCACAGCTAAGACATTTAGCAATTTATACTTTTTGAGATATTTAGCTTTTTCAGCCATGTTTCTCCTTATTAWAAAGAAATGGTGCTGTTTTCAACTTCCTTATAACCTTTCAAAATAGTCATAAATCTTTACTGTACTTTTGTTCTGGTTCTGCGTTTGTTTTATTTTTTACTTCTTTTTGTTAATTTCAGCTTCCTTTGGCTTCTATTTTGTTGAGTTTAGCTTTTTTTCTGCTTATTTGGATATAATTTTGGCATTTTCTGCTATTCTTCTGCTAATTTAAACTTTTTGTGCTTCTTTCAGCTGCTTTCTGTTCAGTTCTGCTAACCGGTGCATGGCAGCCCTGCCTCTGTCAGTCTGCCCCAGGGCAGCTGTGGCTACAATATGCTTTAACTTACACCGTCAGTGTGTGAACGTGTGTGTGACTGAATAATACACGAAAACTGTAACGTGTCTTATAGTGTCTAGAAAATATTACTTTAAGCTTTTTTGTGTGTTTTAGCTACTTTTTAGCTAATTTGATCTTTTTTTTTTTCAGCTAAATCCACCTTTTTGCGTTAATTTCAGCTTTGTACTGCTTAATTTAGCAAGCATGCCTTTTCTGTTTCTTTGTGCTAATTTCAACTATTTCAGCTACTTTTTAAAGCTATTTTAGGCTAGTTTCAACTCTTTTTTTTAGATATTCAGCAAAAATCATCAACAGTAAGCATTCACACAGCCTTTTTGCAGGAAATGCAAATTCTCTACTTTAAAGTAGGGTTCCGTGAACAGTAAATATCTTACCTGCTGCAGATATTTCTTTGAATGGTTCCAGTTTGGAAAAAGGGAGTTTAATTCTGAATGGACTGATGAGCTAATAGCTAAACATCTACAATCTCAAAAGGTTTATTACACTTTGTGCACAAAATGTTTCCTAAACCTTCACACTGTCATTCATTTCACATTACATAAACATTTATAGCAGCAGCTACATGCAGAGCCTAAGGTTCAGCCTGTAATGCTTCAAGTTGGAACACAGGGTCGAGATGCTGATTATAATTTAAAAACAATTCAGCTTTTATTATTTACAGTAAGAAGGAGCCTCTTATTCCTTCAAAAGTTTTAATTCTCCATGTTGGACTCACCGTCGTGTATTCGAAGTAATAGAGGCAGTTGTCTGTTAGGATGAACCACCTTCTCTTCCAGGTTTTCACTCGCCCCCCTGACAGGAAGAGAAAGAGGAAACAGGAAGTGACACGATGGCCGTGGTGATAGACTGGCCGTCTCCGGACAGGAAGAAGGAGCAGGATGTGTGGCGCGCTTTAAAGGAGCCAACAAACATCTACAGAGTTTACTTCTTTAAAACAACATTATTACTTCATATTAGTCATTTAATTTCCTCCTTCCACATGAACTTGTCACATAAACACAAATATTCCACATGCAGTGAAAGTTAATTAGTTTCCTCTAATAAACCCCTTTTCTTTTCAGCTATATGTCAACGTCTGTTACTCACAATTTAAAACTGACAAATTTGACTAGCATTAGAGGTAAACTGTCAAATGAATCACACTTTAAATAATTTTTTTTGTTGTTGTTTTGATTCTTTTCTCTTTTTTGACTAACTGCAGAAGTCTGCAATATACAAAAGCATAAAGCAAGACTACTATTTATAAGATATTTTAGGCTGGATCTTCTGTTTAATGTAACTGTAAAAAAATACATTAACTTGCTTGAACTATTTTCAAACATCGACTCAAAGAGCCGATAAATTATTAATGATGATTCATTTTTCAGACCCACAGGATTAAAAAAAAAAAAGAAAAAACAACTTTGGCTCTCAGGAGACAGGAGCAAACTCAGAAGCTGATATGAACCCAACATGGCAGGAAAAGAACCCCTAAAGGAACACACACACACACACACACACACACACACA